ATTATAGAAATTTATAATAATAAAAGACATTGTCGGGATTTCGATATAGACTGGATTTTCATTGTAAGGATTATGGTAGTCGGGATTTCAATCGTCGGGATTTTGAGCCAGCCGGGATTTCGAACATCGGGATTTGTATACACTCGGAATTTCGAACGTCGGGATTTCGATAGACGAGATTTCTGTAGTCGGGCTTGCGATTGCCACCGGTGTATTTGATAGTCCTTGAATAGATGATAATTAAAAATTATTTATTAATTAATACAAGTCAATTAAACATATTATATAAATTCGTTAATTTGCTTCTGAATCTTTAAATGTTACTATTATGTTCATAGTGAATTAGATGAGAAAATTGAAATTATAAACAAATATTCCTTTAACCCAATTTAATTGTAAAACGATTAACTTTACATAACATGTACATTAATTTATAGTTTCACGGACTTTTGAACGCTTCATCATGCGATGAAGGTAATTATCTAACAAAGTCTCCATTTCCTGACAATAATATCCAATAAATCTACAACGCGTATTACATTATTATAGAAGTTGTATAATAATATTTATAACATTTACTGCAACAGAAAATGCAGGATTTCCTAATCCCAATAATAAAATAAAAAGTAGCTCTAATGACTAATATAATCACTCGTGAAAAAAAACGCGCATTAGTTTTCCATAAATACATAGAAAACCCAATTAAAAGTAATTAACAATCGCGTTATATAATGGATTTACCATATCATGTTTTTAATTAACAGTTCTCTCTCTAAATCAGCACGTTTTATTTTTTCATTTTGATACAGATTGATTGAATAATGTCCTCCAATGATATTTGTTAAACAAATTCCATTAAATTTATGTTATCACATGTGCAAATGGTTAATTATTAAGTTCATTAAGTAGATCATCTATTTTATAACTGTATATAGTTTAAAAACATTGAATTGTTTGTGATAACCCAATTTGAAAGAAAGACGAAAATTGTTGTTAATATGAATATAATGACTGATGATTTGTCTAAGTGAAACAGTTAAAATTTAAATTGATCGCTTTTATTCTTAATTGGACTATAAATCAATGATTTAAACATAATTAAATCGTGTTTTCCAATTACAAAATTTTCCACGATAAAACGCGTGCATTTAGTAATAGAATTTCCATAAAGAATGATAGTAAATATTGTGACTTGATATACCGATTCTGCGCAATATAATGTATAAAATTGTTACTTAATACAATTACAAAAAATATATTAAATTACTGAAATTTTACATAATATTTCCGTTAATTATCTATAGAAAATTTACAGTTTTCTTCTTGAAAAAATGTGTGTTTATAGTAAGAACTTACGAACTAGTTCCGTTCCAAAGGGTTGTTCGTAAGTCGAACTTGATTGTTACCACATTTTATTGTGATTTTTACTTTTATATATGTTAATTTTCGTATTACTGACTGCATAAATTTGAAAAAAATAAAATTAAACTGTTGCAATTTTCAAAATATTTCCGTTAAATTATTATAGAAAATTTACAGTTTTCTCCTTTGAAAAATTGTCTAATTATCCAAAGAACTTATAATATAAAGTAGTTTTATGAAAAAATAAAAAAATTCCAATAATGTGTCTATTTTGTACTTTAGAACATAATATTTTTGTATAGAATGTAGTTAATAATTTGATTCATACGTTTTAATTTTTTCTTTATTTATGTATAACTTTTCCAATAATAATTATTATCTAAATTTGAACATAAATATGTCAGGTAATGATAATTAGAAACAATTTCTTTAATTATTGCTTGTGAAAAAAGGTATCAAATCATTCCATTATAAAATTAAAATCAGGGTTAAAAAAAAATAAAAATTGTTGCGTATTTTTATTACATTTCTTTTAATTGCAAGTTAGAAATATTCTATTATTTTTTTTGGAATTATATGCCAAAGTTTTCTATAAATATTTTTTTAACCTTGCAAATTCATCTCCATATATATTTTTTTTTTCTGGCAAGTTTAAGCAATAAAGATTTATAGTAAAGCAATAATTTTGTAGAGAATTGTATGCAATATCAATAACTAATCCTCTTATTTATACTTTATTTCATTTTTTTTTGCATTTATTATAATTTATTGTAAACTAAAGTCCTTCGTTTTTTTTCTGTAATAACAATGGAAAATATTATTAATATTTATAAATTCGTTTAATAATTAATCATTTTTTTAATGTAGAACTGATCTAGGAGAATTGAATCACGTTCACTTAATATTATTAATATAAGAGAAAGTTCTTAAGTAATAGGTAGGAAATTTTTCGTTTCTTTGAATCAAACATTCAATACAATTGCATATACAATAGTTATTTTTCTATTGGCAACATTTTAGATATGGTGACAATTCTGAAAAATGAAAACGGAAAATTCAGTACTATGAGATAATATTTGTAGAGGTTGACACCTTTCGAAGGTGTTTAGTGCAGGTAATAAAATACTGGTTTATAACTTTCTTTTATTATCTATTCTCTTCTATTTCTCAGTTGAAATCGTATTAGTTCGTTTCTATGTCCTTTGAATAATTGTTGAAAGGTTTACCTTTTAGTTGGACAATCTACCAATATTTATTTTTAATACAAAAATTGTTGATTCTACAATTCGTACTACACTTATTTCATTATATATTAATACATTATATAATTCATCATACAATATTTTACAAATAAACAAATTCTAATTATTAAAGTGTTATCAACATATTCAAAATGTTTAATATATTTATAAAAATAACATATTTATTGACATAATTAAATATTTACAAGTTTTCTTTCCATATAATTTTTAATTTTTTTTTTGTAGATTTTTTACTGGATATTATGAATTTGGGCATAAAGAACGATATTAATAACACCTTTTTATTTACTTGTTTCGATTTTTTCAATAACGATTAGTAATCATTGTGAATTTAAAGATGAACGAATCAATTTATATTTATGCATGCAATACAAAATTAATGCATGTTTGTAACTCATTATCATTACAGAATGATGTCGTCGACATACGTGAATTTATTAATAACTGCTGAATCTTTAAATGATAAGAAATATTGACTTATATTGGTTTTGCTTCAGTAATCATCTTGATAAATACTGTTATCATTATAAAACGTGACTTTATACATGTTTAAATTTGATGATATCGTAGATCATTTTACTGAAGAAAAAGTGTACATTAGAACATGTTTTTGTGCGCTATATGTGTTTTTTTATGCGGTATATAAAATCCAATCAAATCCAACCTGTTCAAACGATAATGTTAGTCGATTTTGAACCAATTCATCACAAGAAGTTGCGCGTTTTGGATTAACACGAGTAGCAGTGATTTGTGTTTGTGCATTTTGAAAATGTCTCCATATGTACAATGAGAAATTAAATGTTTCCATGTGTAATTTAATTATTTATTTAGTTTGGATGCACTTTCTCATGTATTTCGTAAATCTTTGACGTATTTTCTAACTGCGATTTTTTTTATGCGGTGGATGGGAAGTGTCTGTAATGTACAAAGTTATTTGTTATATGTAAGAATTTATGATCTAACGCACAAAAAAAGGTTTTACTGTATATACAAAAAGTATACACAAATAAACACAAAAGAATCTTATAACAAAGGTTATTATTAAAAAAAATTCCAAGAACCACACAAAATTTCAATCATTAAATAATATTGCATGTAATATTTTTTAATATTAAATAAGATATTGAATAATATACTTTTATATATGTTTTTATTTACTTTTTTTTATATAAACCTTATTTATTATATAATTCTATCTAATAATTATAATATTTTTTTTAACGTATTTAATTTGTTAACATATAATTCTAATAAAACTTACAAGTAGAAAAAAAACGAAAACTTGTGAAAATATTTTCAGGCAACAAAAAAATATATTTATTGATATATAAGAATACACATATAGTTCAATATTTACTTACAAAGACATTTTTCTTGTAGTGAATAAATATTACCATCCATTTAATTAAGTTCTCTTTGTATATCATTTTTAATTTATTTAATTAAATATAATATATAATTATTTTTTATGTACATTTCATTTGTTTACACATAATTCTAATAAAACTTATAAGTAGAAAAGATAACGATAACTAGTTGTGAAAATATATCAAGTTTTCATTTTTTTAGCTTCATCAATTGTTTTTTTTTATAAAGAATTATTTTTCAATTTCATATTCAATTTAAAAAAAAATAAATAAGTTACTATAAAATGTTGACTATAATACATTTTTTAACTTTGAACAAACAAACGTACAGCAATATCATATAAGAATTTAATTTTTTTCTGAAAATTTCACGCCAAATAATCAAAATTTGTATGTATATTTTATTGTAAAGTAGTGATTTCAACATATAAGTAGTATTAGGAAAATTGAAAGTTCTATTCTATTTAATGTTTTGGACGTGTCAAAGTGCATGGATGCATATCTATGCAATCTATGTAAGTTAATAAATTGATTAAAGTAAAGTCATGTTTGATAGATAAAATCAAGAATATAGTAGTTGTAATCATTTAATCGGCTAGGTCACAGGTGTTGAAAATACAACAGCGTGCATGTTTCGCTCAGATACGCCGTTTCTTTTCCGTAAGGTCATCAGCAGCAACAGCAGCAGCAGCAGCAGTACTTCCGTATTTAGTTTTGATTAATTCACGTTTTCGATATGCGACGGTTCGAAAAACTATGCGATCGAGCGTGCGTTTAGTTTATATACACACACTCACACTGAACGACGACGACGACGAGAGAACGATCAGGTGACGGTCATGACGAACCTCTAAGGTCAATCGGTGCGATCTCCGCCTCCACCGCCTCCTCCTCCTCCTTCCACCCGTGTGCAGCGAACGGTCAGCTGTGGAACTTGGAAGGGTGGACCGAGTGGTACCCTTCGGCGCAAATAAAAGTTATCGAGCGCCGGTTGACCGGTTCAGTTTCAAAAAAGACGCGAATCGGGTCTATTGTATAAGCGGTACTACTACTACTATTGCTACTATTACTACTTCCACACAACTACAGTCCCTGTCATTGCTACTACAGCTACTGTAGCAGCAGCATAATCAACATACAAATACGTGCAGAGTTCGACGCGCTACTACTATTGCAATCAGCAATCAACAATCGTTGCTCGTGCAGACAACGAAACGAGAGAGCAAGTGGAGAAGCCAGACAACAAGTGTCGAGGAACACGAATCGGCGGCGGGTGCTCGAGCGTCATCGAATCATCAGCAGCAGCAGCAGCAACAAGTGTCGTGGTGTGATGGAACCCATCATGTGCTACCAGGAGTACAGGGATTCCCTGGCCTTGGCCGAAACCCTCGCAAGGGCCTGCCTGATGACTTCGAAGGCTGCACGCAAACGTATCGCGGCCAGAAGCATCGAGATCAATTTCGGCAGTCTGGACCAGAACTCCGGCGACTACATCCCTCCGAAAGAGCTCCTCATGTATATGGTCAGGTATGAAATGAAACAAACCAATTTCCACGGCCTCTGATCAAGAGCCGCGTTTTCACTTTCACCGCGAAACAAATTCTCCGGGCAATTATAATAGTTTTGTCAGCATTCCAACTATCCAATCCGCAACTATACTCTACATATAAAAACATCTAAAATTATTATCACCTCTCGAAATACACGAACTCTGCGATATTTGCATTACAAAAATACAATTAAATTATAACATATACATTTAATCACCTCACCTCAATATATTCTAAAAGTGCTTTATTTTTAATTACAATCTACTACAAACTGGCAACAAGTAAATATTAGTTAACATGCAAATTAAATTGTAAACTCTCGAAATAGTCGATCTTTTTTCAATATTTGCATTACAAATATAAATTACAATATTTTAACATAAACGTTAATCACCTCTAATCATTCTAAAAATTAAAGTAAAATCGCTTAAATTTATATTAAAAAAAAGCTACATTTTTTTCATTTACTTTACCTGGCAATAAGTAAAATTATTGTCAACTCTCAAAATATTCGATATCTGTGATATTTACATTAGAAAAAAAACTACAAATATTTAATTACCTCACCAATTTTTTCAAACAAAAAATACTAAAATTTATTGTCAACTCTCGAAAAAATCAATATTCAATAAAGTCGATCTATGCGATGATTGCATTATAAAAAAATCTAAAAATATTTAATTACCTTACCAATTTATTCAAAAACGTTAGTAAAATTATTGTCACCTCTCGAAATATTCTGTGAAATTTGCATTACAAAAAAAAACTACATTTTTTTTAAACATAATCATTTAATTACCTCACCAATTTATTAAAAAATTGACACATTCATCATAATGCATTTAACATAAAAATATGATTGCAAAAAGAAAACGACAAACTTTTGGAAACTGGAATTTATTATTACAAAAAAAATAATGTGAATTATTAGAAAACTATAGTCAAATTATAAATTTATTTAAATGCATCAATCATAATGCATTTAATAAACCAATAGATTTAAAATAAATAAAATATTCTTGATTTTTATAATATTTAATGGAAAATTTTATTACAACTTTATTATAAAGCATAAACAAAATGATACACAAATTGGAATTAGACTGATTTACTTGTGATTCACTATACCATAGATAAACTTATATATTATCAATAAAAATTTGCAATAAAAACATTTTTGATTTGATATTGAAAATTGTACCACGAAAATTTGAATTTAGGTTCATCTTAAAGAATCTCAATTCTGAATTATATTTAGTTATATTTAAAAAAAATAGATTTATTATGATGCAAATAGAATAAAAAAACATATACTGAAAAGTAAAAGGAAGTGAGGTAGTATTATTTATAAACTTGCATAAATTCAATATATACAAAATATGATCATCACAATGCTTTAATACATTCATGGATTTGAAAACAAACAAAACTGAATTGATCTTGATATAAAAAAAAACTTGAAATAAGTAAATGTAAGATAATTTTATTAATTTATTAACTTATATCCATTGAATATGCAATATAAATGTAAATACAAAAATTAACATATTTATAATAAAAAAACTGAATTAGAAAAAAAATTGAAAGTTTATTTTATATTGAATGAAAGACATTTTTATTAATTATTTATTATGAATATTCTTGTAATTCTAGAATACGTAAATTTGAACATTGAGAAACTGACTAAAGAAATGGATATCGTTCAATGAATGAAAGTGTTCTGCAATAAGTTATGAATGATTTAAAGAAACATGAATGAATCGTTGTAGTAAGAATGTTCACAAGTGAAACATGAATTAACAACCGGATATCCTTTGGAAAATGTAAACACATTTAAAGTACGAATTAATAGCAAAATAATATATTCATTACAACAAGTAAGTCAAAATGAATGAACGAAAAAGAAAAGTTAAAAAAAAACCGGAATAGTGTGTCAATATTTTGCATGAATAATTTCAAGAATTTTTATTATTTTTGAATATAATGAATATATCATACAAAATAGTAATGAAATAAGTAAATTTAATCTTTTATTTATATAATTTTTCGTACCATTTAATAATATTGAATCAATTTTGTTGCGAAATTTGATTATAAAATCATTGCAAACGGATATTGAATATAAATAATAGCATTCTTTGATATTTGTTACAATCCGACAATTGTAATTTTATTTTGCATTGAAAGATGAATAATTTAAAGAAAACATGAATTTATTCATTATTATATAAATTTAATGAAGATTCCACACAGCATTGTTATTATATCGATAAATTCATCGCGTGTTTAACACAATTAACAAAGAGAAAATATTGCGAATCCGGAAAATGTAAAAGGACACGAAATCAAATATATTTCAAATATATAAAATCACGTTGCAAGATAATATTTATAAATGTGAAATGACCGAATGAACTTAAAAAAAATGAACTTGAATAAACGTGATTCTGCTGTTTACTTAAATTATATTTAGATGTGTATATATTTTCATTGATTTTCTATATATAAAAAATGAAAGAACTTTGAATGAAAATATTTTTTATTTATATTTATTTGAAATATGCAACAATATTTCATTAATAATTTTATTGAAATATTGTTGGCGTTATGCATATTAATACATATTTTTGTATAATGAGAAACGTGACACTGGATTCAACAAAAGAAAACCTTTGGAATAAACCTGAATAACGCGAGCTTGAAAATAAGAACAATGAAATGTTGTTAAATTGAAATACCGAAATATGAATGTACTGGTTAAAACTGGTATTTTCATATATTTTACATAAACAACTGTAAATTATCGCTGAAATACGGAAGATAAAAACGCACTTAAGTTTTAATAACGTACTCAAACATGTCTTTAGATAAAAATGTAAATATTCAAAAATTGGGTTTTTAAGTCCAAATTTGATATATTGTTAGAATATTTTCCACAAATTTGTTAACGATTAAATTAAGAAAACTTTAGTCTTCAATTGTTATTAAAAAGTTTAAGTTAATACTAATTTATTAATATAAAAAAATAAAAAACATAATTTTACAATTTTGTTCAAAAAATATTTTTTTTAAAACATTTTATAAGGAATATATTAAAAATTGGCAGAAAGTCTTTTTTTATCGAAATTAGGACTAATAAAAGAGAGTTATACAAATTAGGTTTGTACAAATTAGTTACGTTTAAATTATGAAAACTGAAATCAATAATTATTTTTAGAAAGTTTCAATTAATGCTTGTTTTTTTTCTTATAAAATAATTAAAAAAAAAAAAAAATTCTTATTCCTTTAT